TGGAATACAGGCCAATATTAGAGAATTTACGGGTATTTATTTAAAATTATTTATTTTGATTGGAAGACCACAGTAATCTCTGTTTTAAAGACTCAAACACAGAGACTGTTTAAATATTTATTAGGAATTTAGAAATAAAATGAGCAAAAGTGATTTGATGATTTGACCACATTTAGCAGAAGATAGTGGGTTTCAGAAAAAAGATGAGATTTGTTTACAAACAGGGAAAAAACTTTGGATAAACCTCAAAATTTAAGGTGAACCATGAAAATATGTAATTTTCAACTCAATGTATTTCAATTTAGTTTATTTATATAGCGCCAATTCACAACATATGTCATCTCAAGGCAATTTACAGTTCACCAGATCACCCAGTCAAATTGATTTAGTTTTCTATCTAGGAAAACTAGTTGATTGCATCGACTCATTGACTCCAAGGCAATCCCTCACACTAAGCATGCGTGTAAGGAGAGGAAAAACTCGATTTTAACCGGAAGAAACCTCCAGCAGAACCAGACATATAAATCTAACCACGTTATAAACATTTTCTCTTTCAAGAAAAAGCTTAGCTATAAATTAATTGAGTTAAACAATAATACCATAAAATGAATTCATGACAAATAGAGAATAAACATTCAAAAAGGAGCTTAAATTACCATAAAGGGTCTAATCTCAGCCATCACTGTAAGGAAACTATTGTTGTGCTCACAGAGATCAAAATCTATTTCTTGGGTGCATTGCTTTTATGTGCTAAGGATTATTCACACAACCACCTGCCATGGTTGAAACAGTTGTTTTTTTAAAGTTTAGAGAAAAAAAGCTTTACCTGCAATCTGCATCGAATGGCAAGCTTGATGGGTAGGAATACCTGACTGAGGACTGCTTTCCTTATTTGAATCTTTCACGTATGCTTGCCTTTTTTTTATTGGTCATTTTTAGTATTTCCTTACCTGTTCCTTTTCAGTAGCCTCAATCACCTGTGACCTTCCAAATATCTATCATTCATTCTTCCCCATATTCCACAGTTTCGTCTTCTTTCTCATTCCTCACTTTTTTTTACTAAAGAAACTAAGGATTTCTCCACCATTAAATTTCCTTTTCATTATGATCTCCAATGGGCAAGCATCAACACTTAGAAAAGTGGTCCCAGGTATCCATAAAATATCAGAAATCCTTGACCATGTTTGAACACTTCAGGCTAATTAAGATGTTTATAAAATGTTTTCTTTTAGTTAAAATTTTGCCTCTAAAAAAACACTAAACCCAAACATTTTTTAATGGCCAAACCTCACTGTAACTGTTATCTTGCTTATTCTAAGCTAAACTAACTAACATATGTTATTGCTCTTACAAACCACAAATACATTTAGTAAATTAATGCTTAATTGAAATGATCTTTTGGATGATCGATTGATTAGTGGTTACAAGTAATTTAGGACATAAAAGTAGAGAGACAGCTTGGAGGACAAGGCTGTATAGCAGGGGGTAGTTGCCTTCTTTTACCCCCCTGTTCCTCTGTCAATGGTTTACTGGTATTCTAATAGTTTATAAATTATTCTACATTTAATCACTTATAAAATAAATTAAAAGTCTATGCTTTAAATAAAATACTTATATAGACATAAAAAGAAATATAACAACAGGATAATTTATTTAATTGTTTATTTTCAACATTTTTTAAATGTTCTTACAATTGAATAATATTTACATGAAACTTTGCAACATTCTTAAAAGTTCTAAAAACAAACTGGTAAGTTTATCTTTTACTAAATAAAAGAGTTCTGCATGTGATTCGGATCTTACTTAGTTTGAGTCCATACAGCAGGGGGTTTAGAACGGGCTGAAAGGTGATGAAGTATAAAGATAGAACAATGCGTAGGACGTTGGGGACTCTGCTCATGTCAAACCTGCTCTGAAAAATTTCAAAGAAGGAACCGAAGGAGAAGTTCAGCAGGGAAACCAGGTGAGGTGTGCAGGTGCTGATGGCTTTCTGTCGGGTTTGCTTGGATCCTGAAAAACAGACCTGCAGGATTTTCACATAGGTGTAGAGGATGAGCGCAGCGAGACTAAAGAGCACAGAGAAAGTGTAGACCAGTCCATAGATGTTACTGGCTGTTGCACCTCTGCAGGACAACTTCACAACATAATAGTTTGCGCAGAAAACTCTGTCGATAATGTTTCCACACAAATCAGATGAGGCGTTAAAGGTTATCATTACAACTATCACAACAACAGACAGCACCCACAGTAATGCAGTCAACCTGACCACCATGTCAAAGGACATTTGGGTGCTGTAATGCAGAGGGTGACAAATTGATAGATATCTGTCATAAGACATGACAGCTAAATTATAGAACTCCACGTTTACATACATGTAGAGGCAGAAAATCTGAAGGAAGCAGAGAGGAACAGAAACTGTGTGAACGTCAGAAAGGATCTGAACAAGCAGGAAGGGAAACAGTGAGGTGCTTCCATACAGTTCATTGACAAACAGGCTACAGAGAAACATGTACATGGGTTCATGTAAGCTCCTGTTCACACAGATCACCACGATTAGCAGGATGTTAGAAGACAGGATAAAAATATAAACACACATGAGGAAAAAGAAAATGGCGTACTTAAATAGGCCAATATCAAAGTAGGCACTTAGAGTGAAATATGTCACCTGGGAAACATTCATTTCCATCCGCATCAAGTTTTGGAAGATGAGAGCTATTACTGAAGAAACTGCTGATCAGCAGGAGTCAGAAGAACTCATGGCCACAGGGGAGCAGGTCCACCAGAGCGCTACTATGGCGAAGCATGAGTCAAGTTCCGTTTAAAGGTCAGTTTTACTCTCTATAATAAAAAATAGACAAATTTAGAAATGCAACCTGCAGGAAAAGAGATGTTTAGATAGAAAAGCTCAACTTGTTTCACACAGAGTGCAAAAGCTGCTGCTCCAAAAAAAATTCTTTCTCTAAAAGAGAGAAAAATAAACATAAAACCACAGAAAGCTTCGGATTCAACAGTTATAGGATCTTAACGTGTGTCTGACAGCAGGGTAATTATGACACCTGAAACGCTTCTGCTTCTTTTAAACTCTTCACACCCTGAATGCTGTACTCACACCGTCACTACACAAAAACATACACACAAACACACACACCCACTCACATCTCTGTTTTAAAAACAAAGTGAGGACCTTGCATACACTCCCATTGACATACACTTAAGTTTGCATAAGTGCTGGAATTAGGCAGGGGGTTCAACAGTGACATGAGGGTGGAGGAAATACGTCGAAGCAAGGAAGAAATAGTTTTATTTGACCATTTACATTTATTCCAAGGAAGGGGAAAATGTTTGCTTTTATGTCACCCTGTGCCACAGAGCTATAGCCACGCACAAGGGGTGTCACTGTGTTGCCATAGCAACTACTGCTTTTCTTTTGGAGGGAAGAGGATGTCCCTTTTTCATTTATAGCTGCGAGTGAGACTTAATTGGGAGTGACACTTGATAGTTAAGGGTTAGTGGTTAACGGGTGGGTTTCACTGGTTAGGGGTTGGGATTCAAGCAAGAAATAAGGGAGAGAAGATGGATGGATGGATGGATGGATGGATGGATGGATGGATGGATGGATGGATGGATGGATGGATGGATGGATGGATGGATGGATGGNTGGTTAGGGGTTGGGATTCAAGCAAGAAATAAGGGAGGAATGATGGATGGATGGATGGATGGATGGATGGATGGATGGATGGATGGATGGATGGATGGATGGATGGATGGATGGATGGATGGATGGATTACTGTTCTGCAGGTTAGAATCCTGCAACGGGTCGGGTACCCACGGGTCCCTGACGGGTCACCCGCTAAAATGCTCTTTTGCGGGTGAAAAACACATAAATAAAAATAAACAGGTCGGGGTTCGGGTGGATATTTTTTTAGTGCGGGCGGGTAGTTGGTGATTTTTTTTTATGCTTGTGTGTTGTTATGGACATCAGAAATGTTATATTAATCACCCTTGTTGTAGCCCTGCCGGCAGTGTGGGCTTCCCTCCAAAAAGGCCACAGTCAGTGCATACACGTCTGCTGCAGTGTTAATGGCGCTGTTCTGGAGCGCAGCGTACTATAGCCTATTACTTGATGTGTTAACGGGTCGGGTTGCGGGTTAAATACCAACAGGTCGGGTTCGGATTTGAATTGAAGATATCCGCAGGTGACAGGTCGGGTTCGGTATTCATCCTAACGGGTTCGGGCGGGTGCGGGTTGATAAAACTCGACCCGTGCAGGACTCTACTGTAGGTTTTAGAGGTTCACATGCTTCACCTAACAATTACTGGTACATAAAACTTAAAGCTTAAGCTAAACCTAGTCAGACCTAAGCTATCAAGTTCCGTAAAAATTGATGTGCGAGGTGCAGTCTGTCAAGCATCAGCTGCTCCACACTCTGTGGGATCACAATCCTGTCACCAGTCATCAGGATGCCATCCTTGATGCTAATGTTGTCTCATTGACCAGTACTGGTGTAGGTTGGTAGGAACACTGTGGCGTCGTCTCGACCAGCCTCTCTTGTGTAACTCCATCACCTGTTGCAGTGTGCTGTCTGTCGCCGTGGCCACCTTGAGCTTTGAGAGCGTGTCTGCATCGAGTGCGTCTATGGCCTCCATTGCATGCACTACTCTCTCCTCAAACAGGTCCTCTTTCACGTCATCCTTGCTGTCACTGACAACAGCACGGGACAAGGTATCAGCAACATGCATGTCCTTGCCTGCTGTGTGGATGATTTTCAGGTCATAGCGTTGGAGCTGCAGTAGCATGCGCTTCTAGGGGCTTATGGTCAGATGTACAGTCACTGTGTTGCCATACACATACTGGTGAAAGCGTTTGGTGGCGAAAGCTATTGCCAGCAGTTCTTTCTCTATCTGAGCATAATTCTTCTCAGAGTCTGTGAGTGCTCGTGATGGGTATGACAGTGGCCTACCTTCCTGCAGCAGACAGGTGCCGAGTCCATCTTTTCATGCGTTGCACTGTATGGTGAGTGGCTTGCTCCGGTCGTAGAACTGGAGTACTGGGGCTTGCATGAGGGTGACCTTGAGCTTGTCCACTGCAGCAATGTGTTGGTTGCTCCAGTGCCAGGCAGCGTCCTTCCGAAGCAGCTCTCTGATTGGGCTTGTTATCGTGGCTTCATTTGGGATGTATTGGCAGAGGTACCTTGTCATTCCTAGCAGTCTCTGTAGTGCTTTCTTGTCCTCTGGCTGCGGCATGTCTCTGATGGCGAATACCTTGGACTTGTCCGGCTTCACTCCCTTCGAGATGACTACATGGCCCATGTATTTGACTGAGTCCACTTTGTATTGAATTTTCTCCTTGTTGAATTTGATGTTGTTTTTCAGTGCAGTGTCCATGACTTTTTGCAGAATAGCATCATGCTCTTCCTCAGATGCAGCGGCGATGATCATGTCGTCTGCAATGATGTGCACTCCTTATATGCTGCCGAATGTCTCACAGTTCTTTTGTTGAAAGACCTCACTGGCGGACTTTATGCCAAAAGGAAGTCTCTTAAAGAGAAACCTGCCCCACGGCATGCTGAATGTGCATAGCATCGAGGAGGGCTGGTCCAAACTCACTTGCCAGTATCAGTCCTTTTTATCTAGGATGGAGAAGATGGTTTTTCCTGACAGGCGATGGAGTTCTTCTTCTGGGGTTGGTATTGAGAAGTGCTGTCTTTTAATCACCTCATTTAGGTCACGAGGGTCAAAACACACCCTGAGTGACCCGTTTTTTTTTTTATGTGATGACAAGGCTATTTACCCACTCTGTAGGCTCCGTCACTGCGCGTTGACATCTCTTTCGACGAGGTCTCCTAGTGTGGTTTTTAGCCGGTCCATCACAGCGATGGGGATTTTCCTGCAGCCGTGCACAACTGGGGTCACATGTGGGTCTGTGTGGATGTGATGCAACCCTGGAAACTGTCCTAGCCCACTGAAGACAGAGGGGTAAGCGTCCACTAGCTCCTCTTTTGTGGCTGGTGTTTTGACTGCGATGGTCTGCATTCTTTTCACCAGCTGCAGCTGTTCACATGCGTATCTGCTCAGGATCGGAGTGAAGGAGTGCTTGGTGACGAAGAACAGAAGATCTGACGTCATTCTGCCCACATCACAGATAAGTCTCACTGTGCCCTCTGGCTTCAGACGTGTTCCTCCATAGGCAACTAGAGCGATGCGTGTGGGTTGCAGCTGATGAGGACCCGGAATCTTCTGCAAAATGCTAAGAGGAAGCACATTTGCATCTTCCCCAGTGTCCAATTTAAACTCGACCTCTGTGTTTTTAATGTTGGCTGTTGTGTACCATGAATTATCCTGCTGAGTGCGTTTGGGTTCAAAACAGGACATTGTCGATATGAACAGTGACTCCACCTCAAGATCATGCACGCCCCGGGCAGTGGCTCCTCTGTCTTGTGTTGACGCACACATCTTCGCGTAGTGGTTCTTCTTGTTGCAGTTGTGACAGATGACCCCGAACGCTTGACACTGATGAGGTTTGTGCACCCCGCCGCATTTTCTGCATGTGTTGACATTTCTGACATTTTCCTGTGCCTTTCTCTCAGTTGGTCAGTTGGTCGTGACATTTTTTTCATGGAGACTCTCCCCTTCTCGTAGCTGGCAGACACCTTATGGAGAGCTTGCACGGACACCTCAGGCTGAGCTGATCTCATAGCTCGCAGCTCAAACTCCCAGTTCTTACACTTTTGATGAAGTTCAGTCATGAACTGATCTACGTTGGCTCCCTCAGACATGGGTAGCGACCAGAACTGGTGACACTCGAACACAATTTTTTTTTTTCGGTATGCAGTACTGTTTGAACGCATCAAAGATGTCCTTCATTGTTAGCTCACCAGGCTGTCCATCCTCACCCGGTTTCACAAACACATCTAGTGTGTTGTAGATTTCTAGTGCTTCCTCACCGATTGTGTCTAGCATGATGGCCATTTTCAGCGGTTCAGCTTTCGTGTCTGCTCCCGTAGCCGTCATGTACAGCTGAAAACGTTGCTCCCATCGGCGCCAATTCTCACTGATGTTGCCGGTTAGCACTAGCGGGGCTGGAGGCTTGAACTGATCCATTGTAGCCTAGCTCTGGCTAACGCTAACGTTCGGTGACTCAAAGACGTCTAACTAAACTTTTCTTACCACAGGATTTAACGTACTCACCGGCCACTTTATTAGGTACACCTGTCCAACTGCTCGTTAACACTTAATTTCTAAGCAGCCAAGCACATGGCGGCAACTCAGTGCATTTAGGCATGTAGACATGGTCAAGACAATCTCCTGCA